CATACCTTTTTGGCTCACTGTAGTCCTGGGGGATTCGTACTTGGTCATCCCCATTTGTATTTGAAAATAGCGAGACTTTTCAAGATCAAGCAATCCCAGGTGGGCTATTACAAGGAAGTAGTTGAGGTGATTTGAAACTGCAGTTCCTGCTCTGAGAGTTCAGGCCTACCACATACCATACCGCCTTACTTGAAAGGTGCAGCATAAAGTGGTTAAGAAAGTGATCATTGACACGCCGACCCAGGTTTCTGCCTGTCTCAAGCTTTCTCCAGCACCGTGACCTGGGACGGCTCATTTATACTTCCCTCTGAATCTTCGAGCTCCTCATTTCTTAATTGGGATGAATCTGACTTAAAGGACTATTGAGAAGATGAGAACGCGTGCAGTGTGGTCTTTAGAGAAGGGTCTGATGCTCAATTAAGTGCTAATTAGTTTTTTTCTCTCAAGGCTAACTTTAACAGAGGTGGAAACAGAGGTGGCCCAGAGAGGGGAGGGACAAAGTTTCCTGTCTGGAGTGCAAGGCAGAGACCAAGTTAGGAATCCCGGCTGAGACCCCTTTTGCCTTGGGGCACTTCTCCTCCTTAACTGTGTTGTATTTGTCCTCTCCCTCCAGTAGCTGAGAGCGCCTTTGAAATTGCCTGTGCATTTTCACGACAGGCTTAGAGGTTAGATTCCTAGCACAGGACACACCTAGTGTGGTATTTAGTATTTCCCTGGCTCCACCCTTACACTTCCCCTGGTCCCCTTACATTTGCAGTTCCTGTTGGGGAAATTTTGTGTGCCCAAGGCCATGGAGCCACCCCCAGAATACCATTAGGTTGCAAGATGCCCGGCTGGAGGCCAGGGTGGTTGGCGGTCACTGCAGTTGGGGAAGTTTGACTTGCTGGAAGCCTGCCGCTCGCCATAGCTCTGTCTGTTCTCAAGTGCCCATGCGAGGCTCACACCAGAGGCCACCAGTCTCTGGTTGGGCTCCCGAGTTTAAAGTTTTATTGGGTTAAGGGTCTGCAACCACCCGATTAATGCATCACTCATTTAATTAATTCTTGTACTGTATCGAAAGTGTTCATTGCCAGGCACTGCTCTCTAGGCACTGGGAGAACAGCGTGAATTTTAAAAAAAGACCAATACTGGGGTGCCTGCGGCCTATTTGTTGCGTCCAACCTTGATTTCTGCTCGGGTCAGCGATTCAGGTTGGTGGATCGCCTCTGCGATTGTATGGCAACCGAAGGTGCAGAGTCTGCTAGCCTGGGAATCTTCTCTCTCTTTTTCAAAATAAATAAAATTAAAAAAAAAAAAAAGAAAGAAAGATAATAATCCTTATAACAAATTTGATGAAGCACGATAATCATTCTCCACTTTATGGTTGAGGTAATTGAAGCATTGAGAGACCCACGTGGGAGCTTGTTCTAGTGCAGAAGGTGACAAATAAGCACGTGAGAATGTAGTGTTTCAGACTGATAAGAACCATGAAGGGAATAAAATGGATGGTGGTGCCTGGGGAGCCAGTTGGCGGAGAGCTCTTTAAGATGGTGGTCATGGAACCTCTCCTGGAAGGGGTTGGGTGGCAGTGCGATACCTAATGAAAAAGATCCAGCTTGAAAAACACTGGGGAAATTTGTTGTGGCATGCAAGTTTCCTGAGACAGGCTGGGGCCTGGCCCCTCTGAGGCCCAGTAAAGTGGCTACCTGGGCCATGTAGCTGGGTGAGAGAAAGGCAAGGCTCATAGGGCCTTGGGGCCATGGAAGGGGAATGGATTTATTCTATGTGCAGTTGAAGCTGCTTTGGAGCAGGAGAATGATGCTTACTTTTCTGCAGGACAACCTGGTCTCTGAGAGGCTAAGAGGTAGAAAGAGGAGCCTCAGGGAAACTTGTTGAAGGGGGACTTTTTTTTTTTTTTTTTTTTTTTTAACTTTATCAAGACAGGGAGAGGGAGAGAGAACTAACCAGAACACAAGTGTCGGGAGGGGCAGAGAGAGAGGGAGAGAGAGAATTCCAAGCAGGCTCCATAGGGTCAGGGCTCGAACTCACTAACCCTAACCTGCGGAGATCATGCCCCTGAGTCAAACCAAAAGTGGGATACTGAATTGAGCCAGCCAATAACAACTCAGAAGGGGTACTTTTAAAATCGTAACAAGATTTGGTTAGTAAATGGCTTGGGTTGGTTCAGTC